TATCCTACCTCTGGACCCGGGGAACCTACCCATGTGTCCTACCCTTAGGTCCTGCAGTGAGGGAGGGAGTAGGGAGCTTACAGCTTGGTCCCTGCCCTGCCCCAAATGCATGTCTGACCAAACTCTAGACCTGATGGGACTTCTGCCCGCTCAGAGAGGCTTCTTTCTGACCCTTTCCCTTTGCAGGAGGACCATCGATCTTCTGGCCCACAGAAGGCATTTGGCCGTGGCAGGAGGGCCTCAGGGCTCCCGCCCGACGCTGAGTGGGAACCGAGGGAACAGAATGCCAGGCCTCTGTGGGTCACTGTGGTGGTACGTGTGAGCCCCCAGGCGGGGAACCCAACATGAGCCTTGGGCCCATCCCAGTCGGCCCAGCTCAGCCCAGCAAAGAGGCAGCCAGCTTCCAGAAAGGGGGGTGGGGGGTGTGTCCATCTCCCCATCCTGACTTTCCTCCCCAACCCACCTGGGGTCTGCCGCTCAACACCATCCAGAGCTCTTTACGTGGCATCCCATGTTGCAATACAGTGCACGTGTCCCATGCGGAAGGGTGGCCTTTTATTCATCCCAGAAAGAAATGGCCATCAAGCATCCACTATGTTCCAGGCACTGGGACACCGAGGGAACAGCCATGGAGCTTCCCAGGGGAGGCACAGGTAAACATCCGGCAACAAATAATTACAAATTGGGTTAAGTGCTATGAAGTCAGGAAAGTGTAATTAGCTTATGTTCACCTCTCCCTGGCCCCAGAGGCCTCCCCTCATTGGAGAATACCTACGACTGCCTGGCCTCCCCAGCATGCTGCTCGGCCGAGGACCTCAGCTCACTTGGCGTACCAAGGCGCTTGACAACAGTCTGGGGAACATTTGTTGAGCCAAACTGGAAAGGGAAACGTTTTTAAAAAACAGCAGCCATCCAGGTGGGCCGTGCAATCGAAATTTACAGCCACTGAGGCCCGGCGAGGCTGAACCACACGGCTGGTGCGTGATAGAGCCCAGACCGGAAACCAGGTCAGTCCTCCCCAGGTCCAGAGCTCTGTCACCAGCGTGTGGCCCTGCTGGCATATCCTGAACCACTTCACAGCCCGCGGGGAATCTGCAGCCTCCTGGCCCGTCCCCGATGCCCACTTTGCCAGGCGGCACATGCCGTAGAATCACATGCGATGACGGAAATGTTCCACGCCTGCGCCCTCCAGCACGGACTCATGACGTCACCCAGCAGGTTCAGGGAAAGAGGGCCCGAGTGATGGGGTGGAAATTAGCAGGGGCTGTGGAGAGAAGGAAGGTATGGAGAAGAGAGCCAGAGAAGAAGAAGAAGGGCGGAGCCAAGGATCTTATTGGATGTCCCAAGGAATCTTCTAGACTTTAGTCCCTCACACACGGGGAGCCACTGAAAGACTTTATCCAAAGTAATGAAACACCTTGAATGCGGCTTCCCCAGGGCCCCGAGGCGGTCACTGCTCCTCTGAACTCCTCGGCGATACTCCCGTGATACTGGCACTGTCGTCACCATCCCACACAACATTTCCTCAGCCCACAGTTCTTGCAGCTCTCTTAAGCTGAAACAGCCTTCCCTGCCCCCTCCGGGCTTGTAATCAGACGCCCTCAGCCAGCTCAGTGCCTCTCCCCTGGGTCCCCCGGCATGTGGAGGGGGCTTAACAGGCGCTGTTTCCCTTTCTCCGTCCTTGCTGCCGCTTCCCCCTTCTCGGCCCTTGCTCCTTCCAAATCTAGTCCCAGCTCCCCAGTCCCCAGCTCTGGAGCCCTCAGAAATTCTTTACATAAGGTCGCCCCCTTCCTGAGACTTGGCCACCGGACAGGGTCTCCCTCCCGCAGCCTCAGAACAGGCCTGCTCAAAGGGACAGTCCAGAGAAAGGTGGTAGTTTCTCGGCTCAGCATGCAAGAGGGCCCTGACCCAGTGAGCATAGATATGGATTTGCATTTAGGAGACCAGAGCAGAGGTAGCCAGAAACCTGAGCAGGCTCATCTGGGAAGTCTTCCTGGAGGAGTCACCTGGCGTCCCTTCATGCCCTGGAGTGAGACTAAGATTCTTCCCCACATGGAGAGTTCCTGCCTGTCTCCCCTAGAGCCACATCCCGCCCCAGATCCCCAGCCGGGCTGAGATAAGCTCACTGGAACATTCATCCAGGAACTATGCATTGCTATTCTGAGCTATCGCAGGCCAGGCCTCGGGCCAGTTGGGAAGCAGAGCGTGGAGGAGACACTGAAACTGTGACACATGGATGCCATTCCCACCAGGCCATCTAGCCAGGCTGCGGGGCCTCCAGCAGGCGAAGGAGCCCTGGGCCAGGACTCAGAGTGGGCAGGACACTCTGAGCGCCATGGGCAGACAGGGACACAAGTGAGATGTGGATGAGAAAGAGGGGGACAGATCGGAGCTTAGGAGGACATGACACAGAGAAACAGAAGGAAGAAGCAGAGAAGATGAGAGACTCCTCTTTGCTTCTTCGAGGACCGAGGTCAGGGGTCTTTCGGACAGCCCCGCCCCAGCATCCTCCCCGCTGAGGCCCACGCTCTGGCCAGCCCGTGCCCCACTTCTCAGCCTCCTGGGGGATCAGGATTGCATCCTGTCACCAGTTACAGGAGACCAGGGGCAAAGGAGGGAGACTCTGAGATGTCGGTCCCTGGACCATGTAAGGACCAACCAGGACGGGCCTCCAGAACGCCATAAGCGCAGGGTGTCCTGATGCTGTCTCCAGCTGGGGTCACCCACGCTCACGCCCCACCTGAAACCCAAAGCAGGTCTGTTGTCAGTACATCCAGGAGGGGTTTGGAGGCTAGGCACCCAAGCATCCCCAGAGAGACTGGAAATCCGCCCACCTCCATCCTCCCTCTCCCAGCCCCTGCCCTGCGTCCTGATCCCCTGGGAGGCCTGAGCCCCTAGGTGGTTCAGCTCTGATTAGAGGCCAGGAGAGGGTCGTGTGGGGTCCTCCGTAAGGGTGGAGAAGCAGGGGGCTGTACAGTCTACCCCTAAGGATGCCAATGTCAGGTTGAGGATGATGTGGGTGGAGCTTGGAGCTGGGGCGGGGGGGGGGGGGGGGGGGGGGGGGGGGGGGGGGGGGGGGGGGGGGGGGGGGGGGGGGTGTGGGGGGGGCAGGGGAGGAGGAGGGGCTGGGTGCTTGGAGTTTTTTTCAGTGCTCTTTCTGTTTGGCTGCCAGAGCTGTGGCAGCCAGAGACACCTCTAAGGCTGCAGGGCCAGAGAGGCAACAGCCGCTGGGACCCACGCCCCGCCTCCAGCCGGGCCAACATGGCCTCAATGCCTCCAAGAGGCCCGGCCATCCCGAAGAAAGGCGGACAGTGCTCAGGCCACCCAGACGGCCCTGCCATGCCAGCCTGGGAGCCGGAAACTAGGCCATTATCTGTGACTTGTTAAAGCTCCGAGGCTGACAGAGGTTAGCACAAGTCAGCAAGAAACGGCCGACTTCAGCTGTGCAGAGACAGTTTTGAGGACTGGGCCACCCAGCTTAAAGAAAATTAGGAGGTGGGCCCAAGCCTGGGACAGTAAGGAGGCACCTCCTCTCGTCATTGTGCTGCCGTTTCCAGGGGCCACCAGACCTAGAGGCTGAGACAAGAGGGAGGGCTCATAACTCCAACCGTCTGGGTCCAAATCCATCCCTGACAAATGATGTGACCTTAGGCACTGAACCCCTTTCAGCCTCAGTTTCCCCCTCTGCAAATTGGGGCTGAGAATTAACTCATCTACCTCAAACGTCATGAGGATTAAGGGAACAAATCCGTGCAAGGCATTTGGGACATACCTGACATGTCACCTTGTTATTCCGGCACTAGCAGAGCCCACGTGCCGTTGCCTGCCTCCCCCGACTCCACAGAGCACACGGGGGTGGCCAGCGAGGGGGAGGGCAGCCTGCTGAGGACCCGCATGGACACATGCCATACAGATACCGGGTCAGGGAGGCCGGGGTGGGCCACGCAGTGGGTGCTGAATGGGGAAGGGGGCGGCATGTGTCAGAGACGGGACACAGACACCATCACAGCGACCAGGTCACCCAGAAGTACCTTGCCAGCCCACCTCCAACATCAGAGCTGGGGACTCAGCCTCAGGATAGTCTTTCCTCAGGACAGATGGTCAGAGGAAAGGAGAGGAATGAAAGGGCGGGAGGCAGGGCCACATTCCCACAGCCCTTAAAGAAGAGCTGCATGTGACCCCTGCCATCTCCCCCATTAGACCCACCCCCCAAAGGCAGGCCTTGGGTCGTAGCCACCATTTACTGAGGGCTTCGTGCCAGCCCACCACCAAGCCATATGCATACACCGACTCTGGTGGGGGTGGTATTTTCATCCTCCACACAGAAATCAAGTGACCCGCCTGACGTTAAGGGTGGGGGGAGGGGAAGTCAAGCTGAGTCTGGAGCCCAAGTCTCCCTTGTCCAAAGCCAAGGGCTCTTGGCCTTGGCCATCTGTTTCCTCTCCAGCCTCTGAACACCGGGTTGTCCCAGCAGGTGCTCAATAAATGATAGATCAAAGGAGGGAAGGAGGGAGACAGGGAAGAAGACAGGAAGAGAAGATAAGCCAGGGAGAGTCTCAGGCAGCTAGAAAATAAATAAGAAGGTGCTGTTTCCCAGTGTCAGGATGGCATGCCGCCCGGGGCTGGCTGCCCTACACTCAGGGAGCACAGGGCCTGCGCTTGCCTCATCTTTTCCAGAAGAATGTGAGCCCAGCTACGTCAGCCTTCAGGTATGCAGTGAGGTCTGTGGTGAGAGGCGCGCGCTCTCTCTCTCCTCTCTCTCCTTCCTCCTCAAATCTGCCCTTCCTCTGCAGGCACTCCACACCCACCCAGCCTGCCAGTGAGCCCAGCGTTGTCCCCCTCCCTGGACCCAGATCCAGCTCCGTGGGTGGGGGGGGTGCCTTTGAACAGCCCCCACAGGCAGGCAGGTCTCAGGCCCTGGGAGGAGATGGGTGCTTGGTGCCGGGGGAGGGGCGGAAGCATCGCATCATCTAACAGGTTGGTCGGGCTGGGAGGCGCCCCGCCCTCCTGAAGCTAATGAGCACTGTAGGACAGGTGTTTGCTCCTCAGTCCCCAGCCTGCCCTGCCTGCGACCAGAGCCAGCTGCCCGCCACCCCCTCAAAGGCTCACTCACATCCCCGAGCCCTCCCGAGTCCCGGGCCCGGGGGGCCGCGATGGCCTGCCGCTCCTGCGTCGTTGGCTTCAGCAGCCTTAGCAGCTGTGAGGTGACCCCTGCGGGCGGCCCCCGGCCTGGGACCTCGGGATGGGGCAGCTGCGGAACCCCCGGGCCAGGCTTCAGCTCCCGCAGCCTCACAGGCTGCAGGCCTGCCGGCACCCTCCCCAAGGTCACCGTGAACTCCAACCTGCTGGTGCCCCTGGACTTCAAAGTGGACCCAGCCATCCAGCAGCAGAAAAACCAGGAGAAGGAGGAGATGAAGGTCCTCAATGATAAATTTGCCTCCCTGATTGGCAAGGTGAGCAGATGTAGGGGGGTGGGTGGGTCGCAAAACCTAAGGACCTTCAGACCTAGGCAGGTGGCTGAGCTCTGTGTTTCTGGAGCATCACGGCCCCACCCCTGACCGCAGCCAACCAGCCAATGAGGAGCCGGCAGACTAGCTCTGAGCAGTGAGATGGGGAGGCAAGTCCCTGAGCTCTCCTGGCACTGGGGGCGGGGGGGGAGAAAGAGGCCCCAGGATGGCTCTAAGGGGACCTCCTGAGAATGACATGCTTCATGGCCTGGAGTCACTGTCCCCCCAGGACACCAGGGAGGGGCTCTAAGTGTGGCCAGGAGGATACCCTCTCTTAGGAACGGCTGGTGGAGGCATGCATTGCCATCCTACTCCCAGGCAGGTGGACAGAGGAGACAGCCCCCGAGTCCATGCTCCTTTCCAGACCCTGGCCCTGCTCAGCTTCTGGGGAGGTGCCAGCAGGGCCAAAGGGGCATGTGCAGCCTCCAGAAGGAGGCTTTAGGGTAGGGATGCCGCGGAACCATGTCAGGAGATAGTAATGAGAGAATGGGTGCTGCGAGTCAGAAGCAGACCGGCAGCCAGGCCTCCCCAGCACCCGCATGAGAGAGGGAGTGAGTCCTCAGCACCCAGACTTCCTAGACCCCACTGCCGTGGCTCGTGTGCTGGTCTGGGGGCACTCCTGTCCACCTCTGCCCCCAGGCAAGGGCTTCAATAGCTCTTCGAAAGTCCTGCCCATCTCCCAAGCCCACTCCTCATTCACCTCCTCCAAGAAACCTCTCCTGATCGGCCCTCCCTGCTCTGCACGCCACCCCCCCACCCCCCGCCTGGTCCAGAAACAATGATCATACAAGCAACGGCTGCATTCATTGCTTACTCCATGGCAGCCGCTGTGCTGAGTGCTTCACACCTCTGTCTCTATTAACCTCAACAACCTTATGAAAGAAGTCATTTTATGCCCATTTTACAGATGGGGAAAACTCTGTCTCCCTCCTACTCAGTAAACCAGAGCCCCATCCTTCTGCCCCTGCTTCCAACCTTGCTTCACTTGGTCTCCCCACTTCGGTGCCCCTCTGCACGCGCCTAGTGGCCCCCATTAGGGGGGCATTCATGGACAAGGGCAGAGGGACGATCAAGTGCTTAGAGCGTCTGCCTGTGCCCAGCTCTCTGCAGGAACTTGGCAAATACGCGTCATTCAGCCCACGCAGCCACACTCCCCAGTGGCTCTCTCCCCTGCTGTAAAGCTGAGGAGACAGCATCCCAGAGGTTAAGCCCTTTGCCCAAGGTCACACGCCCATCTAGTGTGCAGTCTGAACTTGGGTGTGTTTCCCCCTCCCCCCAGCTCACAGACCAGCATTCCTGCACCCACAGCAGGGGTGACCAGGGTGGGAGGATGAGGAGGGAAATGACAGCTGGAGAAGGACAGCCATCCACTGAGGCAGCACATTCCTTCCCCCGGCCCCCACCCGCCCGGTTGTGCAGAGCCCCGTGCTGCTGGGCCCTGTGCCCTCGGAAAACAGCCTGTGCCCCGGGGAGGCAGTCCCGGCACAGCCACCTCCTCTCGAAACCCTCTTTAATCCCTTAAAAGGAATGCTTTGTGAGCTATGTAATTTGGCTCAGATGGGTGGCTTTTCTCTGAACGCCAGGGTTGATATCACCCTGTGCCTCTGCCGTGGGGACAGGAAAGGTATGTAGGCACAGAGAAAAGGCCCAAGGGGTTGGGGTCCCGTGCCTGGGGCCAGGGTGATGCCCTCTAAAGTCTTCAGCGGAACTAGAGCCTCCCAGCCCTAGAGTCTCAGCCTTGAGACAGATGTTCTTGAGGGTTGGACGCAAGGAACCATGGGGGCTAGCCTCTTGGGGACCCTGATCATTGGGGCCAAAAGGCCCCAGCACAGAGAAGATCTGTGAGTTCAGTCTGTTAGCTCGTGTTCCCCTTCCCATCTCCTTGTAAAGGCCTCCGGGGCCTAAGGGAGAGCCCCATTTCTGGATCTGAATCCTGGTTCCACCTCTGACCTGCTGTTTAATCTCAGGCAAGTTATTTAACCTCTCTGGTTCTCAGTACACATCTGTGTGACAGCCTTGTCAGGATCAAATGGGATAATTTTTGAAGAGCGTTTATAAAGGGTGTACTGCGTGCCAGGTGGGTTCTGTTTGCTAAATTAAAAAAATCACATAAATGGGCCCAGAGCCGGGAGCTCATAAACCCAGGTGGCCCCTTCTAGCAGGTGCCTGAGGGAGGCAGGAGGGGAGCGCTTTGTGCATAGCAGTGCAGCACAGGGTTAGAAGGAAATGTATGAGTCCAGGGGCGAGATGCCATAACCAAGGCAGAGGTGGAGGCTCTAGACAGTGAGAAGGAAGAGGCAGAGACCCTCCAACTGCACATCCCCTCTGGGCCCTCTGAGGCACCAGGAGAAATCAGAGAGCACCAAGGAAGGGAAGAAGGAGGAAGAGGATGGGGGGTGAGTCGGCCGAAGATTGGCCGAGGGTCCCTGGAGCAGAGCAGTGTTCATTTCTCTGTTTGCAGGCTGTGTTTCCTTGAGCAAGCCACTCACCCTCTCTGAGCCTCAGATTCCCCTGCCTGCTCTGAAAGTGGGCCTGAGCTGTACCCAGCAGAGGGACCCGCCGAGAGGAGGGGGAGTGAGCAGCAGCAGCAGCAGGAGAGGAGGTTGAGGCAGACGGGGGAGGCATGCTGACAGCCAGCAGAGGCTGCGGCCAGGCACTCTCACGCAGGCAGCGCAGACAGCGGAGGGGATGGAAACAGGACCGGAGAAAGGACGACCTCACTACCCCTAACGGGGCTGTGAAAAGGGAACCTCCGAGGGGAGGTGAAGTGCCTGGAGACAGAGCCAGGGGTATAATGCCTCCCCCGCCCCCCCAACCCCGTGCGGCCTCTGGAAGTCACTGCAGCCATGATCTGTCTGCACACAGAAGGGCACCAACCAGCGCTTCCTGGAAGGCAGGGGATTTGACAGTCACTCCCTCCCCCTATGTGGGGAGAAGGACCTGCATGTCCCAGGGTCACCTCTGCAAGCTCACCCACTGGGACTGAGGGCTGGGGATCTGAAGCCTTCCCAACCAGAGGCCCCTAGCCAGGAGCTCCAGCCTGGGCTCTTCCATTTCCTCTACAAAAAGGGACATGTGTCCCCACCCTGGTCTAGGCCTGCTTCTCAGCCGGGCGGTGGCATTGGGTCACAGTGAGTTCTGTGCTGCACTGCCGGGTTTCAGTTTCTTCTAGAAACAAGAAGCAGGTAGACCAAGGGTTTGCCCTTCCTCCAGCTGCCACCTGTGATCTAAGGGCAGAGGGGGAGGGAAGCCGGCCAGAATAGGGAGAAAGGGGAATGAGAGGTGACTGTTCAGCAGCCTTGACAGGTTAGAGGCAATTAACTGGTTCCCTGGCCCTCCCTAGGCCTTTGTGGCAGAGAGGGAGGAGGCTTTGTGCAGGGAAGATCCTGGCTGGGGGCTGGGTTCCCATCCCCACCCACTGAGACAACAAGAAACTCCCCCAGGGACAGCGGGGGAAAGGGCCGCTCCGTCTCTAGAAACCAAAAATCAGCTGGACAGGCTGGCCGGATGTACAGTATCTCCCAGCCGGCTGAGCTAGGAAATCGAGGTTAGGCTAAGGGAAGGACTTCCTGCTGTAAAGGGGTTTTTGTTGCGTATGGGTGGAGGAAGGAGCTCCACGGCTCTCCTCTCACCTCACCCTCAGTGTAAACACAGGGCTCCGGCTTGTCAAAACAGAGGGAAGGTGGAGTGAGCAAACGGCTCCCCCAGCAGAGATCCCTTTCACACACAGAAGCAGCCCAGACGCCCTCTGCACCGCCGTCCCTGCTGCACCTGTTCGGCGGCGCCAGCAGCGGGCTGCAGACTCGGGCTGGCTGTGGGCAGAACTCACCAGAACACATGGGAGCTAAGCTAGGAAATGACAGCACAGCCCCCGGGGCCATGGCCCCATATCCCAGCTGGTGTTATCAGATGCAAATGTTGGTGGGGACATCTCAAGGATATTCAGGTCTCTCAGGAAAACCCAGGAATGTGAGCAGGACAGAAAGAAAGAGGAGGGCCCAGCCGGTCCCCAAATCCAACGGAAACAGGGCGTCCATGAAGGTCCAGAGCGGGCAGCAGGCAGCGGGTGGGCCTGTCTGGGAAGCGTGGCCACCAAGCTGCCACGTGATCCTGGAAGAGTCCCTTGACCACCTGGGCCCTCACCTCCTCCTCTGTGGATAAAGAGCACACACCAGCTGGTCCAAAAGGCCCCTGGCCACGATTCTGGCCCTTTCAGCCGTGATTCTGGGAGCTAGTGCCAGCAGTGAATGGGGGGTGGCCAGCTACCTGCTTGTGGGTAGAGGGAATGTCACTGGGCTGCGTGTCTATACCGGCATCCTGGTGACACAGCCCACCTGTCCAGGAGCCAGGCCCTCACCATCCCTCTCTGCTGCCCCTGTCGCGGGCACCAAGTCATAGGGATCCCAGGAAGGGACCGCGTGGCTCCCAGTCTGGCGAGGAGGGTAGTAGGTCAGGACAAGCAAGGAGATGACCTGAGGACCTTGTAAGGAAGGGAAGGGGAGCCTCTTCTGAGCTGTGGGGCTTTCTGCAGGAGGGGAGCCAGGAGCCCACACAGGAGGGGGGGGATGGTGGAAGAGGAGGGCAGGGAAGGGCTGGAGCCTGGTGAGGACAGGCAGCCTGGGGAGAGGCAGGGGGCCCCCCAGGCTGAGCTGGGCTGGACTGGGTGGAGAGAAAAAAAGGTTTCCAGAGGGATCCCGACAGGTGCGGTGGCCAGGGTGGGAGCCGTGGTAGGCCTGCATCAGTGTGCGCAGGAGAGCGGGAAGGAGGCCGTCTGAGAGAGCTGGCAGTGCCCGGAGCCCGCCCAGCCATCACCCTCATGGCAAAACTGCTCCCAACTAGAGGCAGGAGCCAGTCCGGGAAGGGCAGGTGGGTGCCAGGGCCCACGGTGACTCCAACAGCAGACGGGCCACATGTTGCAGGGGGTAAAAGATTCTAAAGCCCAGCTGCCTGGATGCCACACCTGGCTCTGCCACTTGCTAATTCTGTGACCTTGGGCAAGTTACTTAACCTCTCTGTGAAGTGTGGCGGAGGATAACCGGACCCAGCCCATCAGGTGGTGAGGATCTAAAGAAGCAAAGACAGCAAGCACCTAGAACAAGGTTCTGGCACACAGTAGGGGCCGCATAAACATTTGCTAATGGCGCTGTTCCAAAGCACCTCCCCAGCTTCCTCTCCCAATCAGCCCTGAGAGATGGCCAGGGCAGGCCATCGCTCCCCCAACTTCTAGCTAGGGAAACTGAGGCCCCGAGAGGCTACAAGCCCAGAGCTGTCGAGAGGATTAGCATTTCAGTAGTAACCAGGCCCTACCCTGCTGAGTTTCCAAGGCAAGATGAGACTAGGCTTGCAGGTGGGGGGGCGGCAGATGGGCATCTGACACCCTGTGCTCCCCAGGTCTCCCACCCAAGCCCCTGGCGGGCATGGAGGGCCTCTCACATGCTTGGCACATTTGGCCCCTTCCCTCCTCTCTCCGGCCCTGCTCCTCCCTTAGGAAACCTTTGCTAATTGGCCCCGCCTCTCCCTCTGATTCCCTCCTCATCTTATCTGTCCATCTTCTGTTGGAACCATCGGTGATTGGAGATGTCATCTGAATGTGCCTCGTGAGGCCCAGGGTGGCGAGCACGGAGCAGATGAGCTGCCACTGCCCAGGGAGGCCCCCACGTGGGCACTGGGGCTGGCCCCGGGGCTCGGCGCACAGCCCTTCCGTACCCGGCCCTGACACTGCTGCTCCCTTGCTCTTCCAGGTGCAAGCCCTGGAACAGCGCAACCAGCTGCTGGAGACCCGCTGGCACTTCCTGCAGGGCCAGGACTCCGTCACCTTCGACCTCGGGCACCTCTACGAGGAGTACCAGGGCCGGCTGCAAGAGGAAGCACGCAAAGTGAGTCAGGAGCGGGCCCAGCTGGAGGCCAACCTGCTGCAGGTGCTCGAGAAGGTCGAGGAGTTTCGAATCAGGTAGGGCGTGCCTTACACGGGGGAGGCAGCAGCGACTGACGGTGGGGACCGACCTGCACTCAGATGCAAGGGCCAGGGCTCCCAAGCCACGAAAAGAGAAGACTTCCTTAAAGAACATTCCCTTAGTACAGACTTGCTCACCGAGGACCTACTCTGTGGCAGCCAGTATTCTAAATATCGGGGGGATATGACAGTGAACCCACAGCAACCTTTCCAAACCGTGATCATGGAACAAGGTCAGTCTCGCGTGGGCTGACAGCTAAGTACCTGGGCCCCATCGCAGCCCCCATCCGCCATCCCCTCCTCTGGTGCCTGTAAACACACTTGCTCTCACCCACATATCCCACTGGCAATGGAAGTTGTCACCAGCTAGAGCAACAGATGGGCTCCTTCCTTGGATACGGTTTGGAAATTTGATCTCGAGTGGGCTGGAAAGGGAAGCAGGTGCAGCCAGGAGGCAGGCATGGTGGGGTTTGGTGGAATAAAGAAACAATCTAGACCCCAAGGTGACACGTGCCTGACCTCAGTAGTCACCTTGGGGTCTAGAGAGACGAGGGAGTCACAGCCCCAGCCTGCGAGATGCTTGTAGACTGAAAGGGGTACACTCCTTGCCTCCGCCCCTTACTAGCTCTGCGACCTCAGGTACATTGCGTAACGTCCACACCTCATTTCCCCGTCCGTGCCTGGAAGGGTAATGGTGATACTGAACCAAGAGCCTGGTGGGAGGAGGCAGTGGGGAACTCAGAACAGCGCACAGCAGCCAGATACACCAAGTCGTCTGTCCCCTGAAGGCTGAAGTGGCCGGCCCACGGTAGTGATCTTGACCCAGGTTTGCAGAACTGAACTGGGCAGTCTGGAAAGGCAGACCTGGCGCTTGGGTAACTCGGAGGAGAGGCGGCCTCTCTGATCAGACAGCAGACAGGAATTCCAGGACAAGGAGGCTGGGACAGAGCAGAGAGGTTCCCCTTCCTGTGGTCTGGTGTCCTTTGGAGGAGGCCCTCTGCCAGGGGAGGACAGGACGTGCCTGAATCCCTCCCCTCCCCTCCTCTAGCACCCGGCCCAGCCCCAAGCCTCGCCAACCCAAGGTGAGGCCTGCAGCCTTGGGAGCAGCCGGCCGGGTGGGGCTGGAGCATAGAGCACCCTATCCGGAGACCAGGGGTCTAGACTGTGGCTCAGCTCTCCCACCACCTCTCCGTAAGACTCCCCTGCTCAGGCCATATTCAGAGGAGACGGTCACATGGGAAGCTCTCCCCACTCTGGAAGCCTCAGTTTTCTCATCTATCAATCTAGTTGGAACTTTCTGGCCAACAAGTGTGCTCTGCAGCCCTGTGGCCTAGGGGCCACCGATCCCCAGCCCTGCTCTACCAGTTTCTATTGAAACCCGTAAGGAACCTCACTGCCCATTCTGGGCTGCCGGATTTCAACGTCTGACCATGATGAGGAGTGCAGGGTCGGCATACAGAACCCAAGACATTATACACTGACACCTAGCAGGTCTTTGGCCCTCAGAGAACCAGAGAATGGCGGGATGGGGGGCTTGGATCTTCCTTTCATGGGGAAGGAAACAAGGCCCAGAGAGGGCAGGGAGTTGTCCAGAGTCACACAGCCATTACATGCTAAGTCCCGTCTCTAACGCCAGCCAGCCACAGGGTACGGCTGCTCCCGTGAGCCCAGCCAGATCACATCCGTGGAGGCGCTTGGCAAGTGGAAGTTCTGTACAAACACTACTTGTTGTTTTAATCTGGCTCAGCCTCCCCGTTTGGCCCGCTGCCTGCCTTCCATCTGCTATCTGAGCTCGCTGTTTGGGCTCAGGGCCTCTCTTCCCCTCTCTGGGTAGGGAGCCCACCAGGGTTGCGGAAGATGAGTTTGGAGGGCTTCTGGCTCCACAGGCCAGGCCCAGGGGAGCTACGGCCTGGCTGTGCAGAGCCTGGGGGGCCCCAGGAGCCAGGAGATGCCAGGCCAAGCCCTAACAAGGAGGGGTGTGCCCTGCCTCTATAAGGCCGATGAGATCAGCTTCACTTCTGGAAATAAACAAGTTGGGGGTGGGGGGTGCTGGGGTGGGTGTGACAAGCTGGAAAGGGTTGAGAATGGGTTTGGGAATTCGTGGCTGGCAGACTGGCAGTGGGGGAGATGGTATTTACCTGAATCTCCATGAGCATGGAGACTTCCCGGCTTTGATGTAGCCACGACCCCTAGGATCAGCTAGCTAACTCTTCTATTTACTGAGGATGAAGCAGAGGCCAAGCATAGCCTCTTGAGAAACCACTCGCCCAAGGCCACACAGCAAGTGACTCAGGGGTGCCATGTACAGTTGTGCAAGAGGTTCACTGCACAAAAGCATCTGGTTGAGGGGGTGAACTAGGGCTGAAATCCAACAGAGTTGGTGAAGAGGGAGGAGGGAAGCCTATACAAAAGGAGGGAAAGGGCAGTGAGGAGTAAGGAGGTTTGACACCTCAGGGAACACCCCCCTCCCACACTGGACAGCTTCCCCCAAGGTCCTGCCCCCAGAACAGGTAGAACTCTGGTCTCCAAATGGGAGGAGAGGAGAGAGCCTTGAGCACTGGGCTTATGTGGAGAGGGCCAGCCAGTGGGGGGCTTCTCAGCTTGGGGCTCCCTAGACCCCTGCCCCCAGTGCAGGGAATTCCTCAGAGGCCACCAAATTCCCAGTGGGAAGTCTGGGAAGGAAGTGCAGAGACCCACCCACTCCCTCTGCAAAGAGGCCTCCCACGGTTTCTCTCCAGAAAAGCTAGAGGCCAAGGTAGAAGAGTTGGAGGCCGGGGCCTGGTATTAGATAGAGCAGAGCCCAGGTAATAATAATAGCTTTAGCAGGCACAATGCATGTTGTAAACACTCCATGTATTAACTTTTATAACCCTCATGACATCACTATGATCATGACTGAGGTACACACAAGTGCTCGTTCAAGGTCATGCATCTGGTTAGCAAGGAGCCAGGATCCGAGCCCAAGCGGTGTGGCTCTGGAGCCCACTTGCACAGGAAAGTGTGCAAGCAAAGCTTCCTGGGCACGTGGCTGGCTCTGCTAGGCCCCAGACTGTAGCCCAGTCTCCTCGGCCCACCCTCCGCCCCACCCCCATGACCCGCACCCTAAGGGCCCCTTGCAGACAGGCTCTTGGAGGCACACTGAGTTTCAGAGACCCCTGTCCAGTGGGCTCTTGTCACCTTGGGTCTACTCCCCTTTCTCAGTTTCTCGGGTGGGCTGGTGGAAAAGCAGCCTGAGTGGTGGCAGGTCCAGCCAGCTGCCGTGGGCTATGGGTGACCCGGCCTCCACTGCGAGGTCAGGGACTGGGGAGGGCAGGCGGCTATAATTAGAGCCGCCAGTGATTCAGGCATTCTCTGGAGAGGAGGGAGGGAACCAGGAAGCGCAGAACCCCCACATCCACCGAGGTGGGCAGGGCTGGGGGGGGCGAGAAGTCTGCAGCTGGCAGACACCCCACCCCCAGGGGCCAAGATTAGAGGAAGAGGTTACGGTCGGGGACCCAGAGTCTCCCATCCAACAGTGCTCTTATTTCAAACACAAGGTGGACTTGAGCAAGGAGACAAATCTAAGAAGAGCGAGAACCCACCTGTGTTGAGTTCTGACTATGCACATCTGTTGCATATCAGGGCTGGACTTCGTCCAACCACATGCACACACACACGCACACACACGGAACTGACCGGCCTCTCTCTCTCTCTATTTCTCTCTCTCTCTCTGCCGCTGCCTCGCCCCCCTGCCCCCATCCCAGGTATGAGGATGAGATCTCCAAGCGCACAGACATGGAGTTCACCTTCGTCCAGCTGAAGAAGGTAGCCTGCGCAGCATGTCCCAAGGGCTCCTTCCTCGGGGAAACCTCCGCCCTTGTTCCCTCGGGGTCCCCTGAGCAAAGCCCTCAGAGGCTTGGGTCCCGGGACCATAGGCCAACACCCATATCTGTCCTCACCCTGCTGCTTCACCCAGGCCCTGAGCCAGGGCTCCCTTGGACCCACCCCCAGCTCCCTCAGGAGGACGGGCACCCCACTCCCGCCCTGGGACGGCCCCTCCCCCATCCCTCACCACTGCTCCCACCCCCAGGACCTGGATGCCGAGTGTCTTCGTCGGACCGAACTGGAAACCAAGTTAAAAGGCTTGAAGAGCTTCGTGGAGCTGATGAGAAACATCTACGAGCAGGTGAGGAAATGGAGCCAGTGCCCCACGGAGCCAAGAGCTGACTTGTCTGCGTGGGGAGGGGAGGCGGGGAAGGGAAGGGCGTCCAGCAACAATTCCCTAAACCCCTTCCTGCGCTGCTGTGAATAATCCCACGTGTCCCCACATCACTCATTTCGCGGAGCACAGGCAGGTTGCCAAGAGGCCCCTCTCTCAAGGAGAAGCGGTTCCTTGGGGTGTGCTGGTGTGCAGAGGGGGCGTGGGGGGCCGGGTGCGTCCAGGCAAGGCTTGGGAAGGGGTGTTAGGGGCAGAGAACCGGGGGGCCTTGACCAGCTGTTCTTATGGAACAAATCCCTCCCCATCCCTGCAGCCTAAATGGCGGGCACCCCAGGCGAGGTATGACAGGCACGTGCTTCCCCTCCCATTTCGGGCTGAGGCAGAGGAGACCTATAGTCAGATTCTTTGGTTCCCAGACAAGGCCAGCTTCTGCCGGAACAAAAGTGACCCAGGAAAGGCAGACAGAGGAGCCTCCAGGTACCTTCTGATTTGTCCCTTAGTCCTCAGCTGAGCCTGGGGAGAACATGGCCCTGCAAGGCCGAGGGCACGGCCAGTGCGGTCAGCAGATGGTAAGGAGGTGCGGGGCGATGTCAGTTCAGCTACGAGCAGGCAGAATCATTGTTGGGCACAGCAGGACTCGGCAGCCTGGGTGCTGCAAACTGCTGGTGCCAAACCACGGCAGCGCAGCCAAGATCAGAGCAGGCACCAAAAAGTTCTGCTAACGCGGCCCTCGGGGCTGCCGACCCCAGTTTCATGGCCTCGTCCTGTGGATAGTGAGGTTGGGCCTTGTGGCTACAGGTGGGCCACACTGCTTTCCAGCGGGCTGGGTCCCCAGCTAGGGCTGCCAGGGCCTGAGACCTGTCTATGGCGGCACAGCAGAGACTGCCACAACCCTCGGAACAGCGGGAAGGCAACCCTGCCAGGGGGACCAGGGCATCGGCCGCCCTGAGAGGCCTCGCGTCCCTGGCAGAGCCCTCTTCAGCCGGGCCAAGCCATGGGAGGCCGGCCAGGGCACCATGCCCGCCGACCAGCTTGAGAAGTGGGCCAGGGGCTTCCTCTGTCCAAACTCACTGTGGAGCCGGGCAGACAGCCGCAGGGCCAGTGTTTCAGAATCTCCACTTGACCGTGTGCCTCTCAGCAACCCCAGAGCCCAAGCTCTGAGCCAGGACAGCTGGCCCTGCCAGCGTGGAGACATGACTGGAGGTGGGCCAGGCATGAGCAGTAGTACACCTAGGCATTGGACCAACTTCTTGGTCCGTGCCCCATTTGGATTTAGCAGCTCTGGGACCCCAAATCCTGACTCTTTATCTTTTTTTTTTTTTTTTCCATTTCTGTGACTTTGGGCAAGTTATTTCGCCTCCTGCTGCCTCAGTTTCTTCATCTGTAAAATGGGCTGAGTCATAATACCAGGCCCACAGCGTTCTGCTGATTACTAAACACAGTCATCCATTTAACAAGTGTAGATTGCAAGCCTGTCAGGCGCCTAGCACTGATACCACAGCAGTGGGCGAGGCGGGCAAAGTCCATGCTCTTGGGGACTACCCCCTAACTAAGAGGGGACGGGGCTACCCCCCAGCTAAGAGGGGACGGGTAATATGCCAGTACATGAACATCTGAGCAAGGTCATTTGGGAGGGTGAAGAGTGCTGGCTGCAGAGAGCCAGATGATGCAGTGGTGGTGGAGAGGGAGGGGAAGGTCAAGGATGGGGGAGCAGTGGGGAGGGGTACATCTCAGAGGAGGTGTGAGTGAAGGCCCTAGCTGGCGAGGTCTAGCCCAGGGGAGAGTTGAGAGGCTTCACCCAGAAGGAAGATCTGTCTAAAGCACTGAAGGCGCGAGGGGTCTGGTGAGGAAGGGGAGTGGGAGGAGCGGCTGTGGCTAGAACAGAACTGAGCAGGCGGGGCTCAGCTCACACGGGGGCTCGGGCTCCGAGTCCAGGTTTGGAGCTCATCCTAAGAGTGCTGCGCAGCTCCTGGGGGCCCTGGGAGGGATGATACAGAGAGGGGAGCGGCCAGGCCTGTGCCCTCGTGAGGCCACTGTGCATGCGGGGGTGCTCAGTGCACACGGCAGCTGCTAGGAGGCAGTGAGGTGCCTAGTCAGTGTCCGGTCGTAAGGTCTGTGTGTCCATGGACATGGACAGGCTGAGAAGCAATGCTGACCCTGTGCTCCAAGGATTCCCCACGCCGTGGGCCCCTAAGCTGGCCCTCACAGAAATAGAACGTGAGCCCCATCCGTGATTGTTTTTCTAGTAGCCACATTTTAAAACAAGAAACAGAAAAAATTAATTTTAATGATTCGATTTATTTGGCCCCATATATCCACAACGTGATTATTCAGCACATATAATCAACCCAAAAAATTAAGAGGCTGTTTTGCATTCTCTTTCTCATGCTCAGTCTTCAAACTCTGGTGTGCGTTTTACACTTACAGCTCATCTCAGTTCCGATGCCACATTTCGAGGGCTCACTACCACATGTGGCTAGTGGCTACCAGGTGGGGCCAGGCAGGTCTAAGCGAAGGGAGGTGCCAGCCGGGGCTGGCTCAGGGGACAGAGAAGCACGGTGGGACGTGAGTAACCCCAGGAGGGCTGGACACTCGAGTTTTGACTTCTGGCAGACACCAGATCAGAAAAGCCTGGCTATGCAGCCCACCTCTGCATTTCAGAAAATAGGACTTTCCTCTACACACACACACACACACACACACACACACACACACACACGCCAGGATAGTTTCATCCCCTATTACAACGCTATGTTAGCTATTGTTTATTGAGTACCTACTATATCCCAGGAACTGTGCTAAACGCCTTCCAGATGGAATCTCATTTACTCCTCACGGCAACCCTATAAAGGTAGGGATGACAATTAAGAGGGCACAAACTTCAGAGCAGCTTTTGGATTTGAATCCTGGCTCGGTAATTATGTGAGCTCTAGCACATTCTTTCATCTCTCTCTAGAGCCCAATTTCCCTATCTATAAAATGGGGGGAAATAATAGAGCCTAGCTTACCGGCTGGTTTTGAGGATCTATTTTGTGAATATACGCTAAAGCAGGGGCACCTGGGTGTCTCAGTCAGTTAAGCATCTGACTTCGGCTCAGGTCATGATCTCGCAATTTGTGAGTTCAATCTCCGTGTCTGACTCTGTGCTGACAGCTCTCTCTCTCTCTCTTTTTTTTTCAATGTTTATTTTTAAGAGAGAGACTGAATGTGAGCAGGGGAGGAGCAGAGAGAGAGGGAGACACAGAATCAAAGCAGGTTCCAGGCTCTGAGCCGTCAGCACAGAGCTTGACTCAGGACTCAAACTCACAAACTGCCAGACCATGACCTGAGCTGAAGTTGATGCTTAACCAACTGAGCCACCCAGGCACCCCTCTCTCTCTCTTAAAAATAAACATTTAAAAATTAAAATACACACACACACACACATATGCTAAAGCAGTCAGAACAGTATCTGGTACATGATAAGTATTAAATGTTAGCTGGTTTCAGTTCTAAAATTACACCTATTTTACAGATGAGAAAATGGAGGCTCAGAGAGGCTTTAAAACACCTGGCCAGGGTTACAGTGCTAATAAGAGGTGGTAATGTTCAGAGTGCAGTGCCATTAAGCACTCTATTTTACCGAGCAGCAGTCAATTACCCCCTCAGTCACTGGCTACCCTGACCTGGGGACCACAAAGAGTGTAGTCAGGCGCGTGGCCGTGTCCTCCGGCTCTGGGCTGAAGAGAAGCTCTAAACTGCACGCCGGCTCAATTCTTGCCAACTCGGAGGCGCACATGCTCTCTAGGGCCCATCCCAAGGCGGCTGCACACAGCCGGCATTGTTAGGTCCCCTGCAGCCAGAGGGCCCAACCTGTCTCAACAGGTCTACAGAGGTTCTACACCCTCCGTTTCCTCCTTCTGTTTACCGAGCTCATGCTTACCCTGCGTCTTTCCAGAAAGAGCCTGAGACTGTTCCATCGGCTCTGGGTTGCCAACCCTTCTCCCTGCCGGTGGGGAGCCTCCCCTACAGTGCATTCTGACAGTGCCCTGGTCTTTTCCTGGCCCATGACAAGTGCCGGCTCTGGCCGGGGTTGGGGGCTTTACGTGGAACTCCCTACGCCCACCGGCCCCCCATAGCGTGTTGACCAAGTAAAAGCCCCAAAGCTGCATTCCCGAAACCATCCACAGCCACGCCCTGGTTGGGATATGGGTTCCGGGTGGGAAATGATGACCTGGAGCAGCAGAGGTGGGACACAGGTCTGTAGGGACCATCAAGCGCATACTAGCAAAGGGTCGGGCCTTCCCCTTGCTTTTGCCCAGAGGTCTTTGTTAAGTGCATTTGAAGAGCGATGAAAATCCTTCATCGGGAGACCTCACGGGGCAGCTGGCCACTAGGCTCAGGGTCCTGCCAGCTCCGGGATGGGGACAGGTTGCCCGCAGCGGGCCTTCTGTACGCCCACCACTGCCTTAAGCTTCCTCCTGCATGACCCTTGTCCCCAGGGAGGCCGGCGGGTGGGGTTGGGCAGCCAGCAGACAGGGCAGGGGCGGCCTTCCTCCGCGGGCCTCCACATGGGCCCAGTGGAATCTGCAGCGATCCAAGCTCCGGGTCAGAAGCACCAGCCCCTGCAGGCTCAGCCCCAACCTCTCTGGGCAACAAGACAGTCAGAGGGTGAGGAGGGGGCGTGAAGTCAGCAACCAAGGTCAGAATACAGTCATGAGACAAAAACTGAACCTGGATCTGAGCAAGCCTCACCAACTGCCAGTTTTCAGGAAACACAGGGGACACAAGAGCAGATGAGACACCAGCACACGATGCAATCAGTAAATTCCAGACTGCAGGAAGGCTACAAGGCAAGCGACCTTGTTTCCAACAAGAGAGACAGCAGGGCGCCTGGGCGGCTCAGTCGGGTAAGGGTCCGGCTCTAGGTTTTGGCTCAGGTCACGATCTCACGGGTCCTGAGTTCGAGCCCCATACCAGGCTCTGTGCTGACAGCGCAGAGCCTGCTTGGGATTCTCTCTCTCTCTCTCTCTCTCTCTCTTTCTGCCCCTCCCCCACTCGTTTACTCTGTCTCTCTCAAAAATAAATAAACTTAAAAATTTTTATTTAAGTGAGAAAAACAGCAAAAGAGAGAGAAAAAGGAAGAGAGAAAGATAGAGGGGCATATAGAGTAAGAGAGACTTAGAGACACATGGACCAATTGCAATAGATGGACCTTCTTTGGATCCTGATTCAAACAAACAGGCAAGACAGAGAATCAGAAAAATGGGAACAAGGACCAAAATTTGCTGACTGAAGTAAAGGTCAAGGGTGAACTGTGAATGCCAGTAGGAGTAATTGTGCCATCTGTGCCCCACGCCCTTCCTCCTCCAGGTGAGCCCCACCCCTGCCTCCCAGGGTGCCCGCCCCCCTCCCTGCCACCTGACTCACCCTGTCTGTACAGTGCTGGCCACAGACCCTGCTCCTCCTTCCCGCACCAGCCCTGCCCAGGCCTGGGTCATTCAGCAAGTCCAGGGGAAGTGACCCAGGGCCTGGAAGGTGACACCTTGAAGCCCCTTTATGAAGACCCCTGTCCCCTGTCCCCCACCTTCCTCTCTGCATACCCCCGAGCATTCAGGCCACAAGCTGTCAGGGGTGCAGCCTGGGGCTAGAAAATAGCCCGGCTTCCACTTCTGTCCCTGCCCCTCCAGGGAGCTTAGCAGGAGTAGCAAGGGCTCTAGGAAGCCGGCTCTGCACCCATGGCCCTCTCCATAACCTCTCTGTGCCACATTCTCTTTCCTCTGTAACCTGGGGCTAGTGGTCACGCCAGCCTGTCAAGGATGAAATGTGAGGAGGTCTGAAAAGCACTTAGCACAGAGCCTGGCCAGTAATAAGCCCCCAGGGAAATGAGAGGTTTTACCACTTCCAGGGTTTCTGAGGACGTGAGTTTCCGACACAGGGCTAAATCCCATGAACCATGAGATCATGACCTGAGCCGAAATCAAGAATCAGACGCTCAACTAACTAAGCCAGGCTGGCATTTTCTAAGCAGAGAAAAGGACAGAGCAGAGGAGGGAAGAGGCACCCTAAAAGATGGGGAGAAGGTGAAAATATTGAGGCTGAATTGTGTTGTTGAGGACAAGCTCCTCAGCCGGATGGTGGGGAGCCCCAAGTCTCTGGGGTGACTCTGAAATTACCTCGGCCTCTGTCCCTGGCAGGGGAGCAAGGGGAACAGTATTGTCAGCCTCTGGCCCCATTCCTGCCTCTAATCACCCACAGGCCCCCATTCCAATACTTACTCAGCAAACAGTAGCGTTCACTTCCCAATGTGGAGGGCTCAGAGAGGGCCGCGGCTCCCCAGGCCCCCGGGGGCTCCCGCCAGAGAGGGAGGCCAGGCTGCATGCCACGGAGCCATGCTGGAGCGGAGGGGCCAGAGCCCCCTACCAGGCATCCAGGGCCTTTGCCCCATGAGCCAGGAGGAAAGCGTCCCACCCTGGGAGAGGCAGGGACACTGAAGAGAAATGGCTTTAGGGTGAACCCCGTCCCCTCTACCCAGAGAGGGAGGCAAAGCTGTGGATGGGAAGGGGCAGCGAGTTGCTTCCCAAGAGTCGTAGCTGGAAGCAAGTGGCCAAGAGGCACTCATCGTTGGGTCACCCCTCCCGGAGACAGGGAGTGCCACTCTCCACTCACCCTGGGGACGCAAGGACCGTGGGGGACTACGGTTGGCTGAGGGTCTGGTCCGCCTCCACCAGCCCTGAGCCCCCCGTGTCTGTGCCCGGCCAGGAGCTGAAGGAACTGACAGCCCAGGTAAAGGATGTGTCAGTGACCGTGGGCATGGACAGCCGCTGCCACATTGACCTCAGTGGCATCGTGGAGGAGGTGAAGCTCCAGTATGATGCCATCGCGGCCCGCAGCCTGGAGGAAGCTGAGGCATACTCCCGGAGACAGGTCAGGTTTGGGGCTGACTGAGCAGGGTGGGGAGGGGCTGAAGTCGCCCCAGATCTGTGAGCTGAGAGTCTGTAAGAGGCGCGTGGGGTGCACAGGGGTGGTGTGGGGATCACAGGAGCAGCGTGGGAAGCAGAGGGATGGCATGGGGAGCACAGGGGCAGCGTGGGGAGCATAGGGGCGGCATGGGGAGCAGAGGGGAGGCGTGGAGAGCACAGGGGAGGTGTAGGGAGCACATGGGTGGTGTGGGGAACACAAGGGTGGTGTGGGGAGCACAGGGGCGGTGTGGGGAGCACGAGGATGGCGTGGGGAGCACAAGGGTGGCGTGGGGAGCACAAGGGTTGCATGGGGAGCAGAGGGGAGTTGTGGGGAGCACAGAGGTGGCATGAGAAGCACAGGGGTGGCCTGGGGAACACAAGGGTGGGATGGGGAGCACCGAGGCAGCACAGCCGGTTCACGGGCAGGTGTGGAGAATGTGAGAGCCCAGCACTCCCGCACTGCCGGCCGAGAGGTGATGCCCTGGGGGAAGGTTGGCACCAGGCCAGGGGTGGGCCTAGCCAGAGCCAGGCATGGGACGGGGGCAGGAGTTTGAGGCTGGCCTGGGTGCGCTGGGCTGCACAGGAGGTAGAGCTGGGGAGGTGGGCAGGGAGCACTGGTGAGGGAAAAAGGGAGCATCAAGGGGCAAGGGACCAGGGAGGGAGCTGCCCCTCACTGCCACCTCCTCCTCGCCCTGCAGCTGGAGGAGCGAGCCGCCTGCTCAGCTGAGTTTGGGAACAGTCTCCAGAGCAGCCGCAATGAGATCGCTGACCTCAATGTGCACATCCAGAAGCTTCGATCCCAGATCCTCTCCATCAAGAGCCATGTGAGTATCTTGAGGCCCCACCTGGGAGGTGCAGGGGGAGGCAGGGAGGAGTGCACACTCCTCACACTCACATTCATGTGCTGAGCACATGCAACACCAGGAGCAGGTCACTTAGTAGCTCTGGGCCTCAGTTTCCCCACCAGTCCTCCTAAGAGGGCTTTGAGGATCACATGAGCATCGCATGTAAAGGCGCTCTGTACACTGGCCAGCACTGGGGGAACGGAACAGAGCACCAGCCCAAGCACCAGAGCCCACCTCCTCCCTCCCAGGCCTCAGGCCAACGATAGAGAGGGAAGGGAGTGGCTTAGGTGTCCAGCCAGGACAAGCCTTATAGCAAATGCTGTTCTGAGGCTCCTCCAGGGGCTGTGGAACTTCCCTCTCTCGTGACCTCCAGGGAGGGTCTCCTTGGGTCTAACTGGACTCCCTCTTGCCACCATGCAACACAGTGCCACCCCCCAAGAATAAACAGCAGCGTAGCCCTCCCGGCCTCACACACCCCCACTGGGGACAGAGGAGGGCTCCCGGCCCACTCTCCTCCCGCCCAGGGCTCACTAACTAACCCCTTACCTTTGCTGTCCTGGCCACAGTGCCTTAAACTGGAGGAGGACATCAAGGCGGCCGAGGAGCAGGGGGAGCTGGCTTTCCAGGACGCCAAAGCCAAGCTGGCCGAGCTGGAGGCCGCCCTGCACCAGGCCAAGAAGGACATGGCGCGGCAGCTGCGCGAGTACCAGGAGCTCATGAACACCAAGCTGGCCCTGGACATCGAGATCGCCACCTACCGCAAGCTGGTGGAGGGCGAGGAGAGCCGGTGAGTGCAGGGGAGGGCAGGGTGGGGCTGCAGGACTGACTGGATGCCCGTCCCATGCAAAGCCAGCCTTCCCTCCGGCCAGGTCCTGTGAGCCAGGAAGACCTTGGGTCCTGGGGTCCTGGCTCAGCCACTTACAAATCAGGACCTCGGCCCATCCGTTAAATCCTCTGTTTTCTTATCTGGAAAAGGAGCTGGTCATGACACAGCCTATGGTGGGGAGGACTGATACGATTCTACCTGCGAGTGTCTGTCATAATTAATCATTATGGCATAATTGAGCAGGGGAAAGGAAACAGAGGCCCAGAGAGGGCAAGCTGGCTAGCCAGAGTCACACAGTAGGCCAGCCAGGACTGGGGATAACAACCAAGAACTGCCCTCCGCCTGCCACTTCCAGGGTCCCAGGCTCAGGGGGGACTTAAGCCACAGGCCCCCTTCACAACCCACCATTCCTCTCCCCATCCAGGATGGACTTGCCTTCAACCACCATGGTCAGCGTTGTGCAGTCCCGATCCAAAACCGGTGAGTCCGTGTGCCCTAGGAACCCCCGGTGGGGAAGGGGGCACGGTGTGGGGAGCCACGACCCTAAAGGCATGGTTTTAAGTGGCTCCCACACCTCCAGCCCCTTCCCTGCCCCACCCCTTATGTTCCCTGTAGCTGCCTCCAAGTCTGGCCTTTCAAGAGCGCCCTCCCGGAAGAAGAGGAACAGAAAAGGCCCTGTGATCAAAATCACCGAAATGTCAGAGAAGTTCCTCTCGCAGGAGTCAGAGGCCTCGGAGTAAAGGCAGCTGGACCCCAGGAGCCCAAGTCACTCCCCTGCCGCAGGAGGGACTTAAGCTAAACTCAAGAAAGCAGCTCAGAGCCTCTCGGTTGGGAGGGGAGGCAAACCGGATTCTGAATGGAAAGGAGAAGGGGTCCCAGCAACGTCTGTGTTTTTGGGGGCTGCCGAGGGTGGCACACGACTGCAGCCAGCTCTTCAGAATCGCTCCACTCCATCTCAACATTCCGGTCTCACCTTTCCAACCTTCTGGCCAGACGTTTTCCCAGCTGGATAAACTGGTATTGGGGGTCAGTTTTCTCTCCACCTCCTTGCTCTTCTGAGGCTCCTCCCCAAACAGAGGGCTCTGACCGAGGAACCTTCCACCCTTTCGCCCAACCCTTGCCCTAAACTCACATGTCAAGCCTTGCCTTGCCTCTGCCTCGGGACCGAGGCTGGTGCCTTCGCTCCCCCAGCCCCAGCCAGCCATGGATCATGGGCTGGTGAGGACTGCGTGGGCACCTCCCCACATCTGGAGTTCCTGAGGAGGCCGGGTGCTGAGCACCCCTGGGTTTCTTGCACCACCCGGGGCCCCCAGAGACCTGACAGTATTAGGCAGTGAAAGGAGGAAGTCCCCCAGGTGTGTGGGTCCTAAGCCTGGACCTCTGAGGTCCGCCCAGACACCTGTGCCTCTTCCCTCCTCCTGTGGGTCCCTCGCAGCAGGCCAGTCGGAACTGGACAGGCTGCCCAGCCAGCTCCCGGCTCCTTCTCCAGAAGCTATTCTTGCCATAACCAACCCCCTATGAGAGGGAAGTCAGAGGGCAGCCCGGGACCAAGCAGGAGAATGTGGCCCTCCCTTCTCCTCCCTGCCGTCCTGCGGTTCCCCACCGTCCTGTGGTTCCCCACCCTGCCCAGGATCCAAGCTCTCTGCATTCTGGTCTCTTGCCTAGGGGTTCCCCAAGCCTGGAACCTGGCCCTGGTGGACCAGGCCCTGGAGACCCCCAGCTTCACCCCTACCATGAAGCCCTGGGCTATTTCCCATGAATCCCACCTCTCGGGTCCCTGTTCTCTCCATCAGGCCATCAGACTTGGCCCTCCCCTCCTTTGCATTCACTGAGGAGCCCAGGAACACTCCGCACCTGTGGGGTTAGGGCTCCTTCTTTCCTCCTTCCTCCGCCCCCTCCTCCCGCCGCGCCCACTCCCCTGCCTACTGTGGGGCCGTGAAGAAGGTGCAGTCCAGGCAGGTCTGGGAGTTTCTGAGCCCTTCAGATTGGGCTGGGGGAGCCCCAGTGACAACCAAAAGTGAATTCTGCGTCCAAAGAGAAGATTGGGAGCTGGGAGGAGCATTCCTCTTTCCTCATCTCGGCTCTCACCTTCAGGGCTCGAAGGGGAATCCTGGCAGCTCCAGCCCCCCTCATCCACATGCCACCCTCTGTCCTGCCCTCCTTTCTCCCTACCTGCCCCTGCCTCTTTCTGCTGCTAGGCTCAGTCTTCCACCCCTTCATCTCACTTTCCAGGACATGGTCCCCCAAGGCCTTGACCCCTTTGAGGCCTCAAGGTCCTCCAAGCCTCTGGGGGGCGCTGAAGGGCTACCGACTCTCAGGCTGGAGGAAACTCAGACATAGACTCATCACTGAAGTCGCCTAAGGGTGCTGATTGCTGCTCTTTCTCTGCCTATTTATTGGTTTCCAAGGGAGCAAGTCCTCAGTGGGGATGCAAGGTATAGAGAGTATATATATTATTTTTCATAACTTATGTGGCTTTTAACTTATTGCTTCCCTTCCTGTTTCTGCATAGTCAGTGCTATATTTACTATCTGGATAAAGAACACATATCCCAGCCACCCCACCTGGCTGGCTGACTATCTTGGGGCAGTGCCCCCTTCTCCCTCCAAGGGATGAATAAAATGCTGAGATATGTCCATGGATAAAGCCGTGTGTCTGTTTTTATCTGCCCTCTCAGGATTGGCCAGTCACTGACTGGTCTGACAGGTTGGCCACAGGACTTTGGGGATTCTCCAATTATGGGGAAGGGGTCCAGGGACTTAATTATACCTCCAGACCAATGCAACGCAGACACCAAAAGGTCTCCTGCCCCCCACCACCCTAAAAGGAGGCTTTCCCAGTGTGGACCTACGTTCCCCATGCCTCCTGAGGTGTCTAGGCACCATGTGGCCGCCTCAGCAAGAACAGACATGGGGGATTCCCCAAGCACTTCAGCCCGAACGTGGGGGTTGGCATGGCCCAGCATATATTCTGATGGGTACAGGCCTAATCCTGCCAAAGCAAACTCTAGATCAACAAACAAGGATCCAAGGACCTTCTCCAAGCCCAGCCCTGTGGTAAGACACCCACGATTGTTCCCCACCCTTCCATCTCGGGAAGCTCACAGTCAAGTTGAAAGATAAGCTATCTACCTAAGATGGCATCCCGAACTTCCTAACCAAGTGAGAAGTTCAGGGAAGAGAAGGGCTCATTCAGGGAACCAGAGAATCAGAACAGGCTCCCTGAATGTATTATTGTTTTTTTAATGTTTATTTATTTTTGACAGACCTGGCATGAGAGGGGGACGGGCAGAGAGAGAGGGAGACACAGAATCTAAAGCAGGTTCCAGGCTCTGAGCCAGCAGCACGGAGCCCGATGCGGGGCGCAAACTCATGAGCCATAAGATCATGACCCAAGCCAAAGTCGGACACTCAATCGACTGAGCTGCCCAGGCACCCCTATTTATTACTTTTTAAAGCCATCTCTGTGCCCAACGTGGGGCTCGAACTCATGACGCCGAATTCCAGAGTTGCATGCTCTACAAACTGAGCCAGCCAGGTGCCCCTGAATTTATTATTTGTATCGTTTTTCAACTTCTTTTTATTCCTTTTATAGTTATTGTCAAGTTGGTTTCCATATAATACCCAGTGCTCATCCCAACAAGTGCCCTCCTCCATGCCCATCATCCCCCTTCCCTTCTCCCCCACCCCCATCAGCCCTCCATTTCATTTTTCAACTTCTTGAGTTGAATGCTTTAATTTTCCATCTTTCTTCTTTTTCAAGATAAGATTCTTTGAAGACCATACATTTGATTTTAAGAGTCATTTTAACTGCTTCCTATTTTCACATATAGCATTTTTATCAGCATTTCATTAAAAGAATTTTACTCTTTAACTCATAAGTTATCTAGAAATTTCCTCACACCGAATGTAAACTGGTGCAGCCCCTCTGGGAAACAGTGTGGAGATTCCTCAAAAAGTTAACAACAGAACTCCCCTATGACCCAGCAATAGCACTGCTAGGAATTTACCCAAGGGATATAGGAGTGCTGATGCATAGGAGCACATGTACCCCAATGTTCATAGCAGCACTCTCAATAGCCAAAACATGGAGAGAGCCTAAGTGTCCATCAACGGACGAATGGATCAAGAAGATGTGGTTTATCTATATGATGGAATACTACATGGCAATGAGAAAGAATGAAATCTGGCCATGCGTAGCAACATGGATGGACCTTGAGGGTGTTATGCTGAGCGAAATCAGTCAGGCAGAGAAGGACAAATACCATATGTTTGCACATATAGGAGGATTAGGAGGAACTTAACAGAGGACCGAGGGGAAGAAGAAGGGGGGAAATAGTGGGGGAGAGGGAGAGAGGCAAACCATGAAAGATTCTTGAATACTGAGAACAAACTGAGGGTTGATGGGGGTGGGGGAGAAGGGGGGAGATGGGCATGGAGGAGGGCACTTGTTGGGATGAGCAGTGGGTGTTATATGGAAACCAACTTGACAATAAACTATTTGTAAAAAATAAAAATAAAAATAAATTAAAAAAAAAACTTCCCCACACCTGGGTCACATGTTACCAGGCATTAACTGAGCACATACTTAGTCTGTGCCTAGACCCACTCTAGGTGCTGAGGGAGATATTAGATTCGTCTAGCACTTACCCCTCACTGTCTGCTTTAGCCATGTTTCACCCGCCTGCTTTTGTGCCTTTTATCTCCAGAAGACTCTCAACTCCTTGGGGGTAGAGAAGGCATCTTATCAAACCCCCAGGACCTTGCACAGTGCCTGGCACACAGCAGGTTTTCACTGAAAGTGAAATTGATGTCAGAGAGAATGAATGATGTACCTTCCCAACTGAGGCCATGCAAGTGAAGGCGCATCTCCTTGACCTTCGTATCGTCGGATCGCTGGTGCTAATGCAAAGTCTGGCACATTGAAGGAGCACAGTTAGTGCAGGGGGGTGCAGAGGGAGGGGAGGATTCAGGGAGGGAGGGAAGAGAAAAAAAGGGAGGGAAGGAAGAGAAAGAAGGAGGGAAATAAGAAAGGAAGGAAAAGAAAGAAACAAACAAAGGAAAACAAAGAAAGAAAGAAACAAAGAAAAGAGGAGAAAGAAAGAGAGAGGGAGAGAGGGAAGGAAAAAAGGGAAGGAAGGAAGGAAGGAAGGAAGGAAGGAAGGAAGGAAGGAAGGAAGGAAGGAAGGAAGGAAGGAAGGAAGGAAAAGTATATCTTATCTCCTGCACCCTTCTCACTAGTCATTCCTGAACAGTTACCTGGGAGACTCCGAGCCTGACTCCCCCTTCTGTGCTAGCTCCCTCCTTCCTCCTCCGTCCCACCCCTGCCCTCTAGGATTCACTGAACTCTTGGCCAAGGATAGACCCCTGCTCTGAGTACAGCAAAACCAAGCCCCCGCTAGGGCTGGGCTCTTTCTTTTCTTTGATCTCTGATCCTCCCTACTACCTGTGAGACGGACAGGACAGGTGTCATTAGCTGAGGCCCAGAGAGGCCAATCACTATAACTCTGATCACACAGCAGGTAAAAGAAAAAAAAGAAAAAAAAAAAAAAAAGCATTTTACCTGCAGACTGCATGCCATAAGGGCATTAAAAATAACCAAACCCAGCAGTTGGTGAAATGGAGACTGAAGACGCTCACCTTCAAACACAAAGGGGGGTGAGGCTGAGCAGTTAGCCCCCAGCTGGTGCCCAGCCTAAGCCCCAGGCTCAGCGTGGGTGATCAGAGCCCAGAGGTCTTGGGCCAGGACTAGCGAGTCAGCACCCTGGTGACAACACAGAAACCTTCCTCTAAGGGAGTCCTGGGGCCAGAGCCCAAGACAGGCCCTGTGTGCTAGGGACTGAGAGCATGACCTCCCCTCCAGCCCCTCTTCTGGTCTATTTAGGCCTGAGAAAAAACAACTGGAAGGGAGGTGGTCCCTATGTTAGGGAAGCTCCAGAGGCTGATAGGAGGTAGGGGTGCCCACAACGAAACAGAAAGACAGAACCAGGGATGCCTGGGCAGAGCTCAAGACCACAGTGGGGTCTGCAGGGCACACATTAGTCAAAGAGGGCTTGGAGGAGGGAAGGAAGCGGCTGGTAAGGAATAAGGAGCAGAAATGGCCTGGAAGAGGGAAGTGGAACGGACTTGCTCAGCCTCCACCCCGGGCACAAGTCCCCAGATGCCAGCAGAGGAAGCCTGCACTGAGAATGAGGAAAGCCAAGGGAGCGCATGTCATGAGGTGGGGAAACCCCTGAAATCCACCCCCCCCCCCCCCGGGCAGGAGGTAAGCCAGCTGTGAACCGTGTCATTTGACTGTGCGTCCCGGTGTCTCACAGGGTGCCAAGCATACAAGCGGTGTTAACTAAATGCTGGATGGATGAATGGAGGCATGAATGGCAGGTGACTGCAGCTACTGCCCACAGAGGACTTCCGGAGCACCTGCTGTGTGCCGCAGCCTGTGCTAGGCCCAGCAGGGAGGGAGGACAGAATAAAGGGTAGAACGGAGTCCTCTCCTCAAGGGGCTTCTGGCTTCTTGCCAGGATCTGGTTCAGGGTCTCCTGTTGAGATGAACGCCCCTCTGCTTGCCCTCGCCCGCTGTCTGCGGGACCTTGGGCAAGTCATGTCCCCTCTCTGGAGCTGTTTCTCCATCTGCAAAATAAAGGAGTGAGCTGGGTGCTCCTTCAGGTGCCGTCAACACCTTGACGCCTGCCCCTCCCCTCCCTACTCACCTTGATCCCATGGGCACCTCACCCTGCTAAGGAGGCAGCAATCGGAGTGACTAAGACATGGCCTGTAGAGAAAACTCTGGTTCTAGCTGTGTGGTCTTGGACAACATCTGGGATATAAGAATACCTTCCTTCCGGGTCTGTTGTGAAGCTTTAGAGAGATGATGAACGATGAAAGAACTTAGCACAGTGCCCGGTACAGGCTAAGCGCTTAAATATAGCAGTGACACCAAGCGTGCAAATTATGAAAACCTTCCCCCTAATCCCCGAGGGAAGTTGGAACCAGCCCCCTACCTGGCCCAGTTCCACACCATCTGCCCAGCCTCACCCGCACCTTCCCCCCTCCAGGAGAGACCGGGGCTCAGAGCCTCGTTTGGGAGCAGCTGAGGACTGGAGAGGGGTGGGGAAGCGGCCCGTCCCACCTCGCATTAGGCATTAGGGAGAGGTCAGAGCCGGCCGGCGAGCACCGCGACAACCACTGCCCCCTGCCGGCTGCGGCGAGACCAGCACTTTTCGGGAGCCCGGCCGCTTGGGCTTCCCCGACCCGAGGAGGAGGCGGCGGGAAGAAGAGAGGCGGGGCTGCGCTTCCCAGCGTTCAACCTAGGACTCCCGTCTCTGCACACTTAGCTCACATCTCAGGCCTCGGTGGTCGGAGGCTCCCAGGGCTGAGCGGTCCCTCGCCTACCCGGCAGGTGCAGGGGCGGGGGGGTGGGGGGCAGCACCCTGCACTGGGAGGGCGCTCACAGCCCGCCGGCCCCAGAGAGCCTGCGGGCACAGAGATGTGGCGCCCCCGTCCCTCCGCCTGGGCTCCTCTCACGTGTCAGATCTCATTTGTCAGCGGCGTCACCTCCTCAGAGGTAGCCCCCCATCTGATGCTTCAGAGCACTTAGCACAACCTGCTTTTCTTGATTTTTCCTTCTCTGGTCTGTCAGTTGGTACC